TCTGTGAAACATTCATTGACTTTAAGATATATATCTTCACCTCTTGTGTATCCTTCCAAAGGGCAACAAAACAATAATTCTTTATGTATGCTTCCTTCATAAACATATCTTACATAAAGTAACAACTGTGCCATGTTAGAAATATCAGTTGTTTTATCTAACTGAGTTGCAAACTTTGGGCTGCCCTTAAGCCTGAGAATAAGCTTCTGGAATTGGTCGTTACTAATTTCAGAAATTCTTTTGGAAACAGTATCATTTGATAAAGGAATTTTATGAATTTCATCCTCATACTTTTCCCCATGAACTATTTCTGACATTTTAATAGCAGCAGGTAACACAAGATCTCCTATCATGTAGACCTTTTTAAGTTTTTGCAATTAAATAAGAAGTTTTGTAAGATGCAAGTAAATACTTTTCATTGACAGTAACAAATTTCTCAAAAAATTGTTTTTCTTTATTTGAAGATTTTAAAAGTCATTCAAAATATTCCTTTGGTTTATTGCAGTATGCTGCATTCTTGGTATTAAGACGTTGTTTTAATTTGACTGGTTTCATGCTCTCTGCAGCCAAAACTTCATTACAAATTAAGCAAAGAAGTTTTTCTGTACCATCATCATTATCAGAAGTAAAGCCATATTGCAAATATGATTTGACATATTTTCTTTTTCTTGTCAGTTTAGGTGTGCTACAACCTGGTAGCAAAGACTCTGCCATATTGTCATCAGTATTTTTACCTCTTCTCTCTAAATTTAGTTACTTATCCATAACCAAAAAATATTTTGTTCTAAAATATAAATAAATATATCTAATAATTTCTCAAATAAATACTAGCTTTAGTTTACAAAATTACATTTGTTTGTGCTTAATTTTTAAAATGGATGTTCACACTTACATACACATACAGCACTGATGGTGGAGAAACATTATTAAAGGGCTTTTGTCTTTACTTGCTGCAATTAAACACTTATGTTTCTATAAAAGAGGGAGATAACAGTGGTTCTGAAAATCAAATATTCTAATGCAATACAATCCAAAGATGTACTAATTTGATACTTACATGCTGAGGAATGATGGTAGGAAAATATTAAAAGTATTTTCTGTAATTAAATTATTATGTTTCTGTAAGAGCAGAAAACTTTGTATGTACAGTAAAAATGCCACAATTCATAATCTCGAACCTGAGCTGAGGTGTTTCTGGAAGCATTCGTTGGCGTTGAGTGGTGTGAAGGCATATGCAGTGCAAAGTGTGCATGTGTGTTCAGAGCCAAGGCTGCAGTGAGATTGTGCAATGTAACACAGGCAAGCACTGTCAGAAATACCTTGGATTCATTACGTGTTTGATTTTGAATTAATTTTTGGACATTGCGTGTTCAGAAACCTTTCACTCGTCAAATTTTTCGCAACCCCTGCATTCAGTTACAGGACCCTATACGGGGTCCCGACCCACAATTTAAGAAGCTTTGTCTTGATCACCTTCAGGGCTTGTCTATCCTCCGTCAATTCTCAAACTGTAGTTGGTGCTAAAAAGCAATACAGACAAGCTCAACCCGCTCTTCACTCAGCAGGATTGAGTGCCAGCCTTGCAGAGCTCTCCTCTGCAGACCAGCTTCGGTAATTGTCTCATTCTCTGTTGACTGCCCAAAACAGCTGCTCTCCTCTTCTGTCTCTGTTGTCTCTCTCTCTCTCTCTCTCTCTCTCTCTCTCTCTCTCTCTCTCTCTCTCTCTCTCCTCTCTCTCTCTCTCTCTCTCTCTCTCTCTCTCTCTCTCTCTCTCTCTTTCTCCCTCTCACTCCTCTCTCTCTCTCCCAGAGACAAATTCCACTCTGCTTCTAGGCTCAGTCTTCAAGGCTCTACTCTGTCTTCTCAGTCTTCTTAAATTCTCTGTCCTTAACTCTAATGCCTCAAAGAAGGGCTTCCTCATGAATAGTGACTCATCTCTAACTTAGGCTGAGAAACCCAATATCCACATTTCTATCAAGTGTATCATAAATGTATAATATATAAAATTCCCATTGACTCCAAGCAATTTTTTTATTTATAATTTCTTGGAGAGATCCCTTACGATCTTAAAAACATTAATACGTAAATGAGCTGATGGAAAACAAGACATTGCCACTATCTTTACCTCAGTCAATGCCCTTGACTCTACTTTGGAACACAGTGAATTTATCCGAGGATCTATTTTAGCTCAAGCCTCAAAAACTGCATCAAGTTGCTTTTCTCACATGAAATGTTCTTTTTCTTCCCCTTTCAGTTACCAAAAATGTTTCTATATGAAAGGACAGTACTTTATATAAAAAATAGAAAAACAGTAATTTTGGGGGGGAAAGAAGTTATAACAGTTAGTAAGATCAGGAAAGCATTCCTGTAGGAATAGATGCTTGAGCAGAGCTTCAAAGCTCCAAGAGGCAGAGATGAAGAAGAAATACATTCCAGGTATGGGGGTAGGGGGGTAGGGGCATAGATGGAAGATGGAGAACTGGGTGAGGAATAATAAAAATAATAGTTCACTGTACTATAGTGTACATGAAGGTGAGTAATGTGTGTGTAATAAGGCTGGAAAGGTAAATTGGGGCCAGGTGATAAAAATCTTTAATGCCAGGGAATTTATCTGCTCTTTGTAGTAATAGGGAGCCACTGGAGTTTGAGTGGAGGAGGGGTGAAATTTCATAAATGCTCTTTAGGAAATCATTTTGACAGCTGTGTGGAAGATGGATTGGAATAGGGGTAAACTTGAGGCAGGAAAGCCAATTAGGAGGCTATTGTTAATAGCCCAAATGAGAAGTGACGCAGTCCTTAATTGGGGTGTTGCTATTCTAGTAGACAAAGAGATAGATGCCAGAGGTGTTATTGAGGTAGAAATGACAAGATTTGGCAACTGATTGGATATATGGATTGAGTGAAAAGGAGAAATTAATGACGACATGAGATTGAGAACCAGGGTAGCTAGAAGGATGATGGTGCCCTCCACAAGAATAGAGAACTCGGAAAGAAGGGTAGGTTTGGGTAAATTTGTAGTATGAGCCTCTTTATTGTCCTTTGGGTGATCCTCAGCTTAAATTCCTTGGAATTCATGGAATACTATAATATTCAATAACTCAGTCATATAAACATCAACTGAAGAATATTAGTGCTAACATAAGATCCCACATCTGCTCTTACCAGCACCAGATAACAGCATAGGAATTTCCCCAAATCCCAGGGAATAGTTTAAAGCAGTATTCACATTCTAAGAAGCTGGAAAGGAAGAGAATGGTGGAGTGATGGGTCAATCCCTTTTGTAATCCTTTAAGTCATCAGCTACTCCAGCTTAGCCACCAATTAGGAGTCACCCATGACGTGGTTTTCATACCCAGTCATGCCAAGCCAAGAAAGGCAGCTCTGAGTCCTTATGTTAAAATGATGGGCCTTTGTTTAGGTAAGGAGTTTGGGGTAGTTAAAAGAATCATGCAATTTTCCAAAGATAGCCCATTCTCCTTCTACTCAAGTTTTGGTCCACGTCTATATGAAGTAATGCAGAGCATTGAAACACTATATACGTAGTCTACAGCTATGTCAATATTCAGATACTCCAATGGAGCCATGATCTTATCGATGTAGGTACTCAATCCAGCGATATAAATAGCAGCCCATTCATGGCAGCCCACCCTGGCTGACCCTTGCCTATATTTTCCCATCAGTTCATCACAGCAGATTCCCCCCAACACACGCACACACACACACACACACACGCACACGCACACGCACACACACACACGCACACGTGCACACACACACGCACACACACGCACACACACGCACACGCCCCTGCTCGGAACCTTCCTCGTTTTCTCTTGACACGATGAACACTTTGCACCAATTGTCCCTTCCTTTTGTCGGTGGGCCAGCCTATCTTCTTTTTCACTCGTACGTCATCAAATAAATCCTGCTTGACTGCTTCAGCCCCACATTTCACCCTTCCTCAGTACTTTCTACCTTTGGGTTCCCACCTTTGCTCTGCTTGGAGGGTAAACAGCAAATCCTGTTCCCAGAACCTTCATTTAAGGAGGACACTCAGCTCAGCTATCTCTTCATTTCCCTCTGGATTTCTCCAACATGTTCCCTTGTTGGGTACCTCCCCTCCCCCCTTTTCAGCTTCCATTCACTTGCAGTCTTCCCCCATTAGACGGATCAGAAGCTCATTGAAAGCAGAGACTATCTTTTGCAGCTAGGTAGTATAGCGAGTGGATAGGGTGCTAGGCCTGGCGTCAGGAACTCCTGAGTTCAAATTCAGCCTCAAACACTCACTAGCTGTGTGACCCTGGGCAGGTCATGTAACCTCTGTTCGACTCAGTTTTTTTCAACAGTAAAATGGGGATAATAACATTGTGTATCTGGCAGGGTTGTTGTGAGGATCAATGGTCTAATATCTGTATTGCTCTTATCACAGTGCCCGGGCATATGGTAGGTAGTATTTAAGTGTTTATTCCCCTTACCTTGCCCCCTTTTGCCTTTCTTTGTATCCCCAGCACTTAGCACCATGCCTGCACACAGTAGGCATTTAATAAATGTTTATTGACTGACTGATGAATCATTAATTCTTCTTCTTCATAAATCCCTTTTTATAACGTGTTACTTTCTATCCATAGAGACAACATTATTATTATCATCATCATTATTATTATTATTACATATACACCATGTGCCTCTCCATTGCTGAGTGATAGTAATTTTCAATTCTTTCGTATCTATAAATGTAACTAACGTAGGCCACCCTGTCCCCCACTGCCTAAAAGGCCAGGTAGATTAGATTTTACTCTTTCCCCAGGGTTCTCTGGTACTCTTAAGGGGTTGGAGATACCTAGACCCTCTGAAAATGGCCCCAGCACCCACTAATGCTATTCCCTAAGCATAGGGCGGGTGCCCCCTTGCACCCCAGTTCCATTTAGTCACAATCAAATTCGCTTTTACACAGAAATAGTTACTTGCAAAGGTATAATCACAAATGTCCAACACATGTAGGCATAGTCCTCTTCCTCTCCTGTACCACCTCAGTCTCTGTGGAGGAGGAAAGGAGTGAGAGCTTAATTTAGCTCAGTTGCCACAGAGTCCAGTCCTAGTTCCAAGTCCAAGACCCTCCTTGAGCTCAAGTGCCAGGCTTCTCTGAACTTCCATACTAGACTGGCTGGCTGTATCATCCCTTCTGGAATCCTGGCTCCAAAGTCACCATAATTCTGACTCCCAGGTCCAGTGGGATCGCTACTGGCAACCGAGACGGGGAAGGACAAATGACCCAGAATAGAAACAAACACTCTCAGGCCCATTTCTCGGAGCCCAGATAAAAAAAGGGAGAGCACAGGAAGGCCTTGCCCTCTCACTGGCTTGTGATCTTTATCCTCTGGACAAAGCAGGAAGAGGAGGCCAAAAACATGGTAGAAAAAAGTCACTGGTTCAGACTCACCAGTTTTAAAGACATAGGCTGCTAATCAAAGAAGGCCACCTCCACTCACATGGTAGTGTGACAGGTGAAATCTGCCATACCTGAGGAAACAAAGGTCGGCTTCTGAGCAAAGTGGTTTATTGGCAAGGTGCGCAATTGAACAACAAATCAGGACCAGGCTCGTATTGAAAGGCACTGAATCCTGAATATGAGGGGAGATCGATTTTTATGCATTATAAGCAAACAATGAGCAGGATATAAACCAAGATTAGGTAATTTGATTTCTAATTGGAGGAAAGATTAGGAACTTTCTGAGTTGGGAAGGGGAATGAGTTAGTTTCAGGAGATGGAAGGGGAGAGACTGAGCAGGTGGACTTTCCTGGATGTGAAACAGGACATCACTCAATTCCCACAATTAGCAAGCAAGAGGAATTTATAGGAAAATGAAACTTAAGTCTCAAAACAGAGTCAGTTTTACAAGATGGAGTCAGTTTGGTTCACACAATTTCCACGGTTCTCTCAGTATTTGATGCAGAGGCTTCCATGTTAGGCAACTTGTTCTAAAGATCCCTCTAGGCAGCTCCATGCTAGACAAACTGGGCATGCCCAGAAAATCCCAGGCTACAATGAGAAGGGAAGGAGAATGAGCACTTATTAAGTGCCTACTATATGCCAGGCACTGTGCTAAGCACTTTACAGATATTATCTCACAACATCCTGTGAGGTGGGTGATATTATTATTCCCATTTTACAGTTGAGGAAACTGAGGCAGACAGAGGTTCAGTGACTTATCCAGGGTCACATAGCTATTACATACCCTGTCTCAGAACCATACAATAATACTATAAGAATAATAAAAAATACTGACTGTTGATCCAGGGAAAAGTGTGGGGCCATTAAGTGAACTTTAGAATTTTCTGCTTAACTCTGAATCCAACTCATTTCAAGTATCTATCCAAGCTGCAGATAGCTCGATAGTGTAGGGGATAGATAGCTTAAATTTGTCTTTTTGCATTACTTCCCTCTGAGGTCCAATGGAAGAAATACAGTCCATCTCCCCTACTGCCGGTACTTGAAGACAACCATCATGTGCTTTGTCACCTCTTGGAACCCTTGCCTTCCTTCAAGGCTTAACTCAGTGCTTTGGACACTTACTAGCTGTGTGACCCTGGGCAAATCCTTGAATCTTTCTCAGTCTCAGTCACCTTCTCTGTAAGACAGAGATAATAATAGCATCTATTTCAGAGGGATTTCAAAGTAGTGTATAGATGTAATTATTATTATCATTATTATTGATAAATGAGCTTCATAAGTTGCCCATATAAGGGTAGATGACAGTCTGGACAATAGACATTCTTCATCCACTTGGACTTTCCATGTGGATAGTTAAGCCAAACTCTTAGGAATGATAATGTTATTTATGTAGGAGGCTCATCAGTATACTAGAGATTGAAACAATCAGCACAACATTTGAGTCATACCCAAACAGGAGTATTTCAAAGCCATCATTATCTCTACAGAATCCTTCTTTGAGCTAGACTTTGTGCTGAATGTCCTTATTGACAGTGGCAAACATCTTTGGGTGAAATGGGTCTTATTATGGGGGTGGTGTGTGTGTGTGTGTATATATATATATATATATATATATATACACACATATATATGTGTGTATACAAATACACACATATATATACACACATATATGTGTGTATACAAATACACACACACACACACATATATATATACATACATATATATATACATATATGTATATGTATATATATATATATAGTCAAACAGTAGTTGAACAAGGCAATATCTTTCACCATGCCTTTCAAGGAACTTTGTATGATTCTGCCCCGTTCATAGGAAATGAGTTGGTGGGGGAGACACTCCAAAATGACATTTTGCACTACTAAATCAGTTGCTTTTTCTTGTAGTCAACAAGCAGAAACACTGGGGATTACATATTCTTTATGCCTTTCTGTCAATTATGTGATTGTAAATATGTGGTTACCATGGAATGTTGCTTGAGGAAGTCTTCCTGTTTCCTTCTAAAATCCTTTCCGAAGATTCTCCTTAATGTGTGTGCAGATTATTTTCATAAAATTTTGGTATCGCTGGCAAAGTAGGGAAAGGTAGCTCTGGGGGTTGGAGGGTATGTAGAGGTTGTGAGGAGGAGGAGGAAAGGAGGTACAGTGGAGATGACAGGAGATAATGTTTGAGAATCTTCCTGTGGGAAGGCCCCACAGAGCCATCTAGTCAAATCTGTACCTGAACAAGAATCCCCTCTACTCCCTATACCCCCCAAAGTGGTCACCTAGACTTTATTTGAAGACATCCAGTGGGGAAGAATACACTGCATTCTGTGGACGCCCATTCCACTCTTGGGAAATTCTAATAGTGAGGAAGTAGAGTCTTATATCAAATTCCTACCTGAAATCCATAGAGGTTTGAGATCATTTCCATCCATGTCCTCCTTGTTCTGCCCCCTGGGATCATAAAGAACAAATCTAATTAATCCCTTATCCATCTGCTAGCCTTTCAAATATTTAGAGATAGCTGCCATGTTCCTCCTGAGTCTTCTCTTCTCTGGATTGAATTAGCTCTCATATAGCCTGGACTGGAGAGCTTTCGCTATTCTTACCAACCTCCTCTAGACATTCTCTAGTTTATACAGAGCTGAGCACAGCACTTCAGACCTGGTCTGAATGGAGCCAGACAGTACAACCACTTCTCTCCTCCTAGAGAGGATGTTCAGTTAAGTTTTTGTCTGAGGGGAGGCAGTGTTGAAGGGTAGAGGAGAGGGAAGCAGAAGGTATTTGGGACAGATTCATAAGACTGGGATGCCTTCAGGGAATGGTTAGTGTGAGGTTGGGACATGTTGGGTGATGTTGATTGGGCTGCCAGGAGATAAGTGGGATGATTCTGTTGTGTTGGAAAGCCCTTTGAAGTCGTCAGCTGAGACCATTGCCCCGTAATCCCCCTGAAAGCTGCCATAAATACTGAACTTCTCAACCTCAGGTTTGGACAAGAAAATGGCAATGACCTATAAAACTGAGCCTCTGGTATGTTGGAAACAAATATTCCAGCTCCAGACCATGATTTGGGAATGAAAGTCGCTTCTGGGTTTAGGATTCTAAAAGTGAGATAGTAAGTCCTGGCCAACAAGTGGAATTCTTTCTGTGGCTCAGCATTCCTTGGCAGCAAGAGAATCAGAATAGGCCACAGAGGTGGGAAGCCTGAGGCCTCAGGCCACATGTGACCTTCGAGGTCCTCAAGTGTGGCCTTTTGACTGAGTCCAAGTTTTACAGAATAAATCCTTTTATTAAGAGGATTTGTTCTGTGAAGTTTGGATTCAGTCAAAGTGCCGTACTTGAGGACCTAGAGGGCCACATGTGGCCTTGAGGCTGCAATGTTCCCCGCCCTTGGAATAGCAGTTCTTGGAGGCAAGGGTTGGGAAGATAGGGAAGCAGAAGTGAAGGCCTCATGCTTAGACTGTCAGCCTCCCTTTCTCAAGTCTCTCTCCACTCTAGTCCTCCTTCCGCTTGGCTGAAAGACTGATCTTCCTAAGGCTCAGAGCTGACCATATCACCCTCTACTCAATAAACTCCAGTAGCTCCCTATTACCTCCAGGATGAAACAGAAAATTCTCTATGTGGCTTTGAAAGCCTTTTGTGACATGGGCCCCTCCTGCTTTTTCAGTCTTACAGTTTACTCACCTCTGTGTAATCTATAGTACAGAAACACTCATCTCTTTGCTGTTCCTTGTGGAAAAAACACTCCCGTCTCCTGACACTGGGCCTTTTCACTGGTGGTCATCTATGCCTACAATGCTCTCCCTTCTCACCTCTATCTCCTGGCTCCCCTCTAAGACTCAGCTCAGATTCCACCTTCTTCAGGAGGCCTTTCCCTTTGTCTCCCCACCCTACCCCCCAGCCCCCACTGCTAGTGCCTTCTCTTAGAGATTTCCTCTCATTTATACTTGTCAGTTGTTTGCATGTGGTCTCTCTCATCAGATTATGAGGTGCTTGAAGGTGGGAACTGTATTTCTACCTTTCTTTGCTTGGCACATGGTAGGTACTTAATAATTGGATGATGATAATGATGATGATGATGATGATAGTTGTCATGGTGATAGTGATAGTGATGGTGATGGTGATGATGGTGGTGGTGGTGGTGGTGGTGGTGGTGGTGGTGGTGATGGTGATGATGGTGGTGGTGATGGTGATGATGGTGGTGGTGGTGATGGTGATGATGGTGGTGGTGATGGTGATGATGGTGGTGGTGTGGTGGTGATGGTGGTGATGATGGTGGTGGTGGTGATGGTGATGATGGTGGTGATGGTGATGATGGTGGTGGTGGTGGTGGTGGAGATGATGATAGTGAGATGGTGAGGACTGCTTTAATACTTTCAGACTTTAGGCCACCAATTAGCAAATTGATGAGGATCAATTGAAAAGATGTTTAGCCTAGAGAAGAAAAGGCTCAGAGGGGACCAGACAGCTGTCTTGAAGCATTTGAAAGGATGTTCTCGGACCCAGAGGGCTGAACCAGGAGTGATGTATGGATGTTCCACAAAGGCAAATTTATCTCAATGTCAAGAAAAATTTCCCAGCAAAGAAAGCTGTTCCAAGTGAAATAGGCTGCCCTGAGAGGCAGTGGTTTCTTCTTCCCTAGAGGCCCCACTGGGGCTTCATTTCAGGTGGGGGTAGAGGGCGCAGAGGGTCCTTCTGGCTCCCAAATTCTGTGATCCTATGACTCTGAGAAAGCATCACCACGTCAGCATTTTGATGTTCGCAGGCAGAGAGGTTTAGCCTTGTAACTTCCCTGCTGGACCTCAAGGCCAACAAAGGAAGACAAAGCAGTGACTGGTCTGTCTGAGGGAGAGCTCAGCTGAATTGATCAAGAGTCTGACTAGCACGGAAAATTCTGTCCAGCTAGCTCATCAGGTAACCAGGCTGTATCCTCATAGTATATTTACCTGCTTATGGTGTGCTTACCATATGAGCTCTACACATCGGAGATAAATAGTTTTTTGTTCACAAACTGGCTGAGTCTGTTTTATGCTGAAAATGCTGTGGAGGAGGGCTATGAAAGAGAAGTAACTAGGAGGACTCTGATCTCAAGGTGGAAGTTTTTACAAGAGATTTTCCTGAGCCAATGATGGTGGAAAGTGTCCAGAGGCAGAATGCTCCCAGATCTTCTGTCGAGGGTGTCCTGCACTTACTTTGATAACACCCGCTTTCAAAGGAGTTTAAGGTTTCCAAAGCCCTTTCCTTATGGCAGCCCTATGAGGAAGGTAACTGTAAGCATTATTATCCCCATTTTACAGGTGAGGAAACTGAGACTCATAGAGGGGAATGTGACTTATTTGGGGGTCACAAAGCTAGTAAATGTCAGAGCCAGGATTTGCACCCAGATCTCTTGATGACAGGTCCCCATGCTCTTTCTTCACCAACTAGTGAGGACTGCTATGGAAACAGGTATTGTAGTGGTCAGAACATGAGCTGAGGACCCAGGAGTCCTGTACTCAGGTCCTGACTGTCATTGACTGGCTGTGAGATTGGAGGTACTAGGTGTTGTCCCTTCCAGCTCTGGACATTAGTGAGTCCATACTTTCTCTCTGGGACATGACCCACCTAACGTCTGCTGGGCTGGCTTTCTCCTGAATGCTTCCCAAGCAGTGTAGCGGCTACACCTGAAACCCCCTTCATTTTCTAGAGAAGGATCCTGAGGCCCAGAGAAGTTAAGGGATTTGCCCAAGGTCACCCAGGCCCACAGGCAGTTGGCACCTGGGGAGTCTGCACAAGGGCCTCTCCCAGATTCCACCCCTATCTCTGGTCCTGTGATTATTAACTCATGGCTCAGGGCTTAAAGCGGTGATCTAAAAAGAAGGAATAAGAATCACACCAGGTAAATTAGGGAGAACTGTGAGTAAGGCCAAAAGAAAACTGAATAGAGCACCCATTGTGATTTCTTAGTGTCCCAGGAATTAGAGCTGGGAGGGAAGGACCTCGAGATATCTGCTCGTCCTGGCTTCTCTTTTTACAGATGAGGCCCAAGCAGGGGAAAGGATCTGGATAATTGGTCAGAAAAAGTAGGCAGGTTTTATCAAATAAAATGAAAAAGCCAGGGAAGGATAATCATCCATTCCTTCTCCCCATCCCTATCATCTTCCTCTGGCCAAGCCAGCCCTCATTGTGAAACACTCTTCATGAGGTGACCAGAAAATGCTTTACTTCACTCCTGCCTCTCCAGAGTGTGCTTCCTCCTCCCCAGAAGCCTCCCCCACCTCTGCTCTCCAACACTTTTATGTGCCATCTCTCCCACTAGAATGTCAGCTCCTTGACGGCAGGGACTGGCTTTTATGCTTGTATTTTTATCACCAGGGCTTAGCACAGTGCCCGGCACGTAATAAGAACTTAATAATTGCTGACTTGTATGTTCTACCTATCTGTCTATCTATCTATCTATCTATCTATCTATCTATCTATCTATCTATCTATCTATCTGTCTATCTGTCTGTCTGTCTGTCTGTCTTTCTGTTTATCTGTCTATCCATCTATGATCTATCTCTCTATATCATGCCTATTGGTCTATCCATCTGTCTATATCTATCATCTCTGTCTGTCTATCCATCTATCTATCTCTCTGCATCTCTATTTTTGTCTATCTGCCCATCTATCTGTCTGTATGTTTGTCTATCTATATATCCATCCATTATCTATCTGTCTATATCATATCTGTCTGTCTATCCATCTATCTGTGTCTGTCTGATTGTTTATCTCTCTCTCTCTCTCTCTCTCCTCTCTCTCTCTCTCTCTCTCTCTCATGAAGAGAGGCAGCTAGATGGTATAGTACATAAAGTCTTGTACTTGGAATCAGGATGACCTGAGTTCAAATCCCGCCTCAGATACTAGCTCGGTGCCCCTGGGCACAGTTTCTCCACCTATAAAATGAGGGACAATAATTACCTCCCTCCTAGTGTTGTTGGTGAGGAGCCAATGAAATAACACATGTAAAGTGCTTTATAAACCTGAAAGCTCTATATAAGTGCTAGCTAGTAGTAGTAGTGGAGGGAAAGAAGCCTGGACAAGAGAAAGGAAAGGAGAGACCATTTCATCCTCTTCCACAATGATCTCCTAGGGTAGTGCTCCTTTCATCAGGGTTGAAGACTTACCATCCCAACCCCACTTCCCTGCAAGTTTGAGGCTGAGGAAGCCCCATGGCAAGTAAGGATGCTTCCTTCTGAGCACCTGGAGTAGACAGTATAACCAAGGCCATCTGAGTTACCTCTCCTTTACTCTGCACAGCTTGTATTTACGTATGACTTACATGTCCTATCTCTCTATTAGACATCCCCTATGCAAACATTTTCCCTTGCTTTTTATCTCCAGTGCCTAATACAGTTTTGAGCACATAATAAGTATTTAAAAATAGTTGGTGACTGGGGCAGCTAGGTGGCACAGTGGATAGAGTACCA